CTGGGGTCCTGGGATCGAGCCCCGCATCGGGCTCCAAAAAAAAATGTTCCCTCTCTCGCTGTCTCTCTCTCTGTCAAAAAATAAATAAAATTTAAAAAAAAATTCAGGGGTGCCTGGGTGGCTCAACTGTTAAGCGTCTGCCTTCTGCTCAGGTCATGAGAACCCCACGTTGGCCTCCTTGCTCCATGGGGAGCCTGCTTCTCCTTTTCTCTCTGCTGCTCCCCCTGCTTGTTGCTCTCTCACTTTCTGTCAAATAAATAAAATCTTAAAAAAAAAAATTCAGGAGTGGACGAGATCATTGACAAAATTTTTATGAATTTTAGCAAGTGAGTCCAAGTAATAATGTTATTAATGTTGGTATTGAGAAACTTACCTGTTTGCGTTTGAAAAGCCAAATGTCAGGCAGGTTGTTCCTATTTTCAACTATATTAAATCAACATTTCTCAGAAGTAGTCTTTAAAATAGATACATAGAAAGAGGGCGCCTGGGGGGCGCCTGGGGGGGGCCGTCGGTTAAGTGTCTGACTCTTGATTTCGGCTCAGGTCGTGATCTCAGGGTCCTGGGATCGAGCCCCACATCAGGCTCCCTGCTCAGCAGGAAGCCTGCTTCTCCCTCTCCCTCTGCCCCTGCTTATGTTCCCTCTCTTGCTGTATCTCTCTGTCAAATAAATAAAAAAAACCTTTAAAAATTAAAAAAAAAAAAATAGATACATAGAAAGATAAAAACTATGGCTATATTTACTTCCAATTGTTTCTAGAATGACGAAGTATATTCCTATCTGTAAAATCAGTAAGATATTTTGTAAACATATTAAATTCTTTATTTTCTCAACATTTTGCCTAAATATCTAAAATAGGATCTTTCCCTTAAGCTTATTAACTATGCCCATAACATAATATTTTTTAAATAGCTGCTTTTTTTTAACTATGTTAGAAAAGTGGTATTAATGTGGACTACGGAATGTGGCCATAGTTTTTTTAGTTGCTGTAACAGCAACATTGAGCCATTTTTATACTGATCAGACATTCTGATGGTATTTGTTAGAAGGCATCTATTTCTACCGTCAGTTACAGTGTATGTACAAATATATTGTAATAATTTGCTTTTTTATAGTTCTTTTTTTTTTAAGATTTTATTTATTTATTTGAGACAGAATGAGAGAGAGAGAAAGAGAGCACATGAGAGGGGGGAGGGTCCAAGGGAGAAGCAGACTCCCTGCTGAGCAGGGAGCCCGATGCGGGACTCGATCCTGGGACTCCAGGATTGTGACCTAAGCTGAAGGCAGTCACTTAACCGACTGAGCCACCCAGGCGCCCCTTTATAGTTCTTTTTCAAAGTATTGCCATTTGTATTGAATATAATATGTGTCGTTTCACAATTAAAATTTACTAACTAACTGAAGGGAACTAGCAGTGGGTTTTCTGGTGCACTAATCAAGAAGTAGCATTTTTGGACCTTTTCATGTCCTTTGAATAGGAGAGTGAATGTGGGCCTTGTGATTTGTTACTCTGTTTTTACTGCTTCGGGAATTGAGAACTTTTACTTATGTACTTCATGTTTCGGCAGCTTCAAGCAGGGTAGGAATTTTTAGGTCTATTTTGAAAAAGCTGTGACGGGAATGTTACATAGACACGTGACAAAGGTGTGTGTCAGTTACTGGACCTGCAAGGATACCTTCGTAGTCTTGGAGAGTAATCATATGCTTCTCTTTATTGTTATTTAAAGTGACCCCCATCCTAACTGATACAGTTACTACTGAACCAGAACTACTTCTCAGTTCTGAAGTATAATGCGTACCATATAGTTGACAAGCACATAGTGGAGAAAAGCCCAGAAACCGTGCAAGAGCAACTTTTTCATTTTGAAATAAAAATTCGCCATACCTCGGGTGCCTGGGTGGCTCAGTTGGTTAAGCAACTGCCTTCAGCTCAGGTCATCATCCTAGAGTCCCGGGATTGAGTTCCACATCGGGCTCCCTGCTCAGCAGGGAGTCTGCTTCTCCCTCTGACCCTCTTCCCTCTCGTGCTCTCTATCTCTCATTCTCTCTCTCTCAAATAAATAAATAAAATCTTAAAAAAAAAAAATTCACGATACCTCATTTTTCTCCACTGTTAAAACTTTCAGTTCTTACTTTTTACTCCTGGGAGGAAGAGTAGGGATTGTCTTGTGTTGGACTACTATGAAAATAATCTAAGATCACAAGATTGCACTTTAAATTTTGACAGAATTAATTTGTTACATATCAGCATTATGAAAACTTAAAATTTTGGTATATCTTGCACTTTCAGAAAGTTCTCTTAACAGTTAATATAGTCAAATTGCATATTGGTATTTAAATTTAAAAAAAAGGTACTAAAGTAACTAGGGCCTAAATGATACTAGTTAATTACATGGCTTTGGTGTGCACTAGTAACATTTTATGAATATATTTGCTTTAGTTTTGCGGGGAGAAAGTGTCTGATATACTTTTTAAACTTTATTATAGAAAATTGGAAATATTCACAAAATAGAGTCATGTAATGAATCTGCATATATTCATCTTCTGTTCTTACCAGTTTAATATAATGGCCAGTCTTGTTTTATCTACACACTATCCTACAGTAGTTCCCTCCTGACCCCCCAGTGATTTTGAAGGAAATCCCAGACATCATGTAATTTCATTGGGAAATATTTCAAGTGTATCTCTAAAAGAGAATCAAATTATTTGTATTCCCTGTGAGTACTAGCTAGCTTTGTTGTGGAGTGGAAGTTCAAGAGTGCTTGGAAACAGGCCTATTTTATTGTAGTTATTTTGCATTCAGAAAGATCGATAGTTTATACTACTTGGGTATTTTACTATTACAGTAACTCTCAAAGGATTTGAAACGTTGATTTTATAAATAACATCTAAAAATATGAATTATCATCATGAATATATATGGAGTTATGTGACAGTCCTCGTTTCAGAGCTAACCTGCAGTTTGCTTTGTCATTTGCTCCTGGCTCTTCCCTACCCTGCCAAAATTTGTGTTTTTTTATTTAAATGCTGAGAAATGGCATATATAACACTTAGTTTCAGATGAAATTCTGTAAGCCTCGGCATGTGTCAGAGAAAGAGACGATAGAATAAGGATGCATGTGAGCTGGGAAAGAGAAAGGCAGAGGGGTGGACACTGGGGCCAGGCACTGGTGTGGAGGTGACTCCCCTTCTCTCACCCTTGCTCACCCAGCCTCCTCGCCTGCTCTTGACTTTATTTCTTTTCTTGGTTCCCCTTTGGTTTCTATCTTTTCCTTCTCTTGGCCTTTACTTAATTTTGCCTGTGGCATTCATTGTCAGGAAGATTGCTAACTCCTCCCTTGGAGGATGTTTTATTATGTAGGGGTTGTAAGAGGAAGCCTTAAAAAATGAAAGCTTTTAAGACTAATTTGTTGTGCTTTAATGCATTTTTATATAGATTTTATGCAGATTTTATTTCAACTAATTCAAATACCAACTGTGGGCTAGATTGAACTTTTCTATACTCTGGATGAACCACACAGTGTATCAAAAACATTAATTTTATTGACTTTAAAGTTTATATGCTGTTAGTGAAAAGATATGTAATAATAATTTTTCCTTTTTTGTTGTCTTTTGCTTCCCATTTATTGATGAAACATCCTGATATTCAAATGTGACTCTTCAGTTCACAAGGTTCCTTTGCAGCTCACCTCTGGAGGTAAGAGTTTACTCCCTGACCTTAATACTAGGATCACTAATTGGACGTCACTATTGGTATGTTTTGTTAGGCATTTATTTGGTAAATTAGAGGTGATCATTTTGTTTTAACACATACTCTTCAATAATGGTAAGGAGATGAATACAGACTTTGTTTAGAATAAGAATTCCTGTTAAGTTATAAAACTGCTCACCTTCATAACAGGTCATTGCTTCTTTTTAAGAACATTTTCTTTTTTTTAAGTAAACTGAAATCAGTCTTGCATTGTAAAGAGCCTTATTGTATCTGCTTCCTTCGTAACTGTTGACACTAGCCTTATTCTGTCTTAACTGCCCTGGCTGTTAACCGGTAACCAAGAGCTGCAGGAGTCAAGGGGGTGGGGGGGATGTTGTCAGGCAAGTTTCTGTTGGTTTGAGAGCACTTTTTCAAACCCCTGATTTGATGAGGGAAGAGCAAAGGACTTACCTGTTACTGAGCTTTTCTTAAACACACGCATGCTCCCTTCCTCTGTCTCGCTCTCCGCCCCCTCCTCCCTCCCTCCCTCTCTCCCCGCTCCTCTCCCCTCCCTTCCCCTGCCCCTCTCTCAGTGCATCATTCACTTCCACCTTGAGTCCTTATAATAGTTCTGCGGGGTAGAGCTGAGACTCCCGGTGATAACGTGAGATAAAGATATTTAGGAAAGCAGCTGACCTGTGAGTTGACACAAATGGGTGAGGCTTTGAGGAAGGAGGAGGAGAGAGGAGGCCACGGAGTAGAGATGCTTGCACTCAGAACCAAAGCTGATTTTCAGAGCATGCCTTCCCTCACTGGTCACACTGGGCAAATCGCAACTTCCCTGAGTCTGGGTTTTCTTATCTTTAAAATGCAAATGATAATTCCTACCTTTCCGATGAAGCAGTGGACATGGCAGCGTTTTTAGAGTGCTACTCAGGGGCACCTGGGTGGATCAGGCTCAGGTCTTAATCCCAGGGTCATGAGTTCAAGTGAGTTCAATAAATAAAGCGCTACTCAAACCTTAGTGATATTTTGTATTTTCCTCTTGGGCTGTAGGTACTGCAGCCCCACACAATAAGATACTGCTCTCTGCCTTTCCCTTGTCCTTCCTTTTGCTTCTGTTTATTGCACTTCATGTTCCCTTCCCCCATTGCCAGCTTGTTCAAATCCTGTCCCTCTTCAGGTTGAGCCTCCAGGTTTTGTCCACTGCCTGGCCCTCCTGCACCTCTCCATATAGAGCCAGTGTTCCCTATTCTGCTTCAGTAACACTGTGTTCATGAAATTACTGAAACGTTGTGGGTGTATGGTGTAGCCCAGCCTAGCACATTAAATACTCGTAGAGACCAGTTTGATGATTGCCAGGGGAAACTGACGAGGCCAGAGAGTACCATCCAAGTTTGGTCACATTTTCTAAATATCCAGGATCAAGGGGGAAACAAAGCTGTTTGGAGAGACTCCGGGCTTTGAAATGTCAGAGGCTTGGTTGGCCTATGAGCAAGTCATTTCATCTTTTGGTTAATCTAAAGATGGAAATGGTAATACTTTGTAGTTATTAAAATGAAATGAAATAGTGTGTGGCAAACACTGAACACAGTGCCTGTCACATAGAATTTTAAGTAAAGTTTAGGGCGAAAACAATAAAAGCAAACCGTAAGAAATTTGAAGACAGTATAAATTATACAACTTTTCAGTTGAAGCATTTTTTAAGCATAGCAGAATGGGGAGTATCACAAAGGAAAGGATGGAAAAATAAGATTTGCTTCTGTTAAAAATCCTTAATTTTGTTCATGAAAACATACATAGTTAAAAGGCAGTTTGGGGAAAGTGTGATAACAAGGTTATTATACTTAATGATCTCCTGGAATCAATTTTAAAATGTACTATTTTCTTTCCCATAATTTTTCGTTGGATTTTATGAGATAGTGTGGTGAAATACAAATGATAATAAATGTTATAAGAGTTTAACCTTGTAAGTTTTTTTTTTGTGTAGTTTAAAAGAACAGTGATAAATGCTTGCTTACCTATTTAGAAATTTTTTTTTTAATGAATGCTTAGGATGGTATGATGGGATGGGATGTTTTTAAACTTTATCCTATACAGAAATCAGTTTGGTCATCTACATTAAACACCCTATATAAATTCATACCTGTGGGTTGTGTGCCTGACTAATTCTAGTCTAAGAATCACTGCCAGGGAAATAATCAGAAGTGAGGTTTTTTTTTTTTTAAATGTTTATTACAGCTTTATTTATTTATTTATTTTTAAGATTTTTTTTTTTTTTTTAATTTATTCATTTGAGAGAGAGACAGAGCACAAGCGGGGGAGAGGCAGAGGGAGAAGGAGAAGCAGGCTCCCTGCTGAGCTGGGAGCCTGACATGGGGCTTGATCCCAGGACCTGGAGATCATGACCTGAGCCGAAGGCAGACACTTAACCATCTGAGCCACCCAGGTGCCCTAACAGCATTATTTATAATGGCAAAAAATTTATAAACAGTCTAAATGTCCAGCAGTAGGAGGAGGTCAAGTAAATAATGGTATAGACAGCCATATTATGGATAGAACACTCTACAGCCATTAAAATTGGGATTTATGCATATACATGTTCATGAGTATGTGTTGATGAACAAAACAATGAAAGAAGTAGGATGCAAGATTATACATGCAGATCTCCGTTTAAAAATAATTTAAGCATATAGAAATTAGTTAAGATACACAGGATGTTAAATTGTTTCACCCTTTGCTCTTCCATGAAGGAGCCACAACGGGGAGAAGAGATACCTTGGTAGGTTTTTAGTGGTGACTTTTGTAGTCAGTGTTTGGAAAGTACATCAGGCAAGTCTCTGATGGACGTGCAAACAGGGTCTAGTCTTGGGGGAAAAAGGTGGGTAGGGAGAAATTGCAGGAGCTTAGGTGAAGAGAATGCCGATAAGGTTTAAAGCTGAACTCTGATTTCAGCAAGAGCTTCGTGGAGTAACCAGGAAGAATGGTTTTGAGCAGAAGACATTTAGGCTGGATTGGCTTACCTGGAAATGGAGTGAATAAGGAGCCTGGCTCTTGATGTCCACTGCACTACTGGGGCAGTGTTAACAATGGCAAAAATCCTTCTAAATAGACCTCACTAATGGATTTTTCTCAAATGTAAGCCCAATGAGAGAGGACCCTGTTTTTCTTGCTTCCTTGTGTTTCTGATTTTAGTATAGTAAATAGTACAGTGGAGGCACTGGATAAATATTTGCTGAATGGTTGGATGAATGAATAAGCCAGGTGGGGCTGAGGCTGCAAGTAACTGGATTTTACCCATAATTTGGCAGTGGTCAGCTAAAAACACACAAGGCTTAATATTTATGTTTCAATATGGTTAACAGTCTTCCTAGCAAGATTATAGCTACTTAAGATCAGGATCTTTGTCTTTTTTCATCTTTGGATGCTCTCAGGTGTAGATAGGGCTTGGAGTTTACCATCTGTACAGCTAGAGTTGTACCAAACAGTTTTTTAATTACATCTGGCTAAATATTGAGAATCTGTGTGCAGAAGCTTTAATCTTTGGTGAAAAGTAGAGGGAAAGTATGATCAAATTTTAGTGATAGTTTCTGTCATTTTCTCTCTGATATGCTTTTTCCACTTAATGATCCGGAGAAAAAAAAAACCTTGTTTAAATCTCTGTTCTTACTGAGCTTATGGACATGGGGAAAGGAAAAAAAAAATCAAAATTAGAGATGACCAATGTGCTTTTGTTTGCTTGAAGTATTTGGGAAATACCTTGAGGGCTTTCTGTTGAAATTTTTCTAGTCTGGAATTTTGCAGGGGCTGCCTAATGGCGTAGTTAGTGGCTGCTATCCCCCAAATTTCCAACAGCACTGAGCTCAGGATTCTGTTCCTTTGCCACCTCCTTTGCCTGTGAGCCAAAGCAAAGCCAAAGTAAGAGAGTGTTAGGAGTCCCAAATGTTTAATTTTGCCATTAAGCTTATGTTTTAGCTGGAGAAGGAAAATTACACATACGATAAATACCCAAACACCTTCCCTAATTTTGATTAAAAGAAAAATAATTTGGGGCGCCTGGGTGGCGCAGGCATTAAGCGTCTGCCTTTGGCTCAGGTCATGGTCCCAGGGTCCTGGGGATCGAGCCCCGCATCGGGCTCCTTGCTTGGCGGGAGGCCTGCTTCTCCCTCTCCCTCTCCCAAAAAAAATGTTCCCTCTCTGGCTGTGTCTGTCTGTCAAATAAATAAATAAAGTCTTTAAAAAAAAGAAAAGAAAAATAATTCTGGTAGAGACCATAAAATACATGAGACTTGCAGTTGAAAATGAAGAATACTCTAAACTTCACTTTGTCCACAAAACTAGTATGAATGAACCATGTCCCTTTGTTGTAAGTCCTAAACAGTTAACTGCCACATGAATCTAACGAAATTGTCAGGTTATAGTAATTACATCAGTAATTTGATCTGCTGTCATTTGAATGGAGCCATGTGTGGAGAGTCGGTTACTTCCCTCTGTGGGGCTGACCCTTTTACATTCCTGTAAGCTGAAGACTAATAGAGCTCATTAAGCTTTATGGGAAAAGAGCTTTTATCACCTCGTCAAGTCAGGCAACATATTTCCATTATATTCCTAATTTCATGTGGCTCTGTGGCTGCTGATGTGCACTCCCCTGCTAGGTTTACATCGGACCTCTCCCTTACAGACATTTTTATTGACATTTCTAAGTCTGAATTACATTTTGTGTGGCACCACCTACAGATGTCTTCAATTAAATGTAGGTAAATAAAGGGGATTATATATCAGAGGCTAAAAGATTCTTGAAATTCTCTCCCGAATCACGCTTTGCCAGCCAGTCCAGTAGGGTGCAGTCTTGTCGGCATTTCGGAGGCGGAGAGCTACAGGAGAGGTGTTTGTAAGACATTTCACCACGTGTGAATGTAGGTGGCTTAGGTTTCTGTTCAGGTATGTCCTTCTGTTTCATTTCAGATCAATTCCAATCTTCCTTCATTCAACAGGTATCATAATAA